AACTTCTTTTCATGTTTTTCTAAGCAAGCGAGTTCTTTCTCGTGTTCTTCTAACTTTCCGAACAAGGTGGTGAGATCAAGTGTTGTAAGATCGCTGGCTTCCTTGATAGACGTAACCTTCTGTTTCCGATTCCTATTAAGACATCTCAAAATCTTGTTATTAGCAAAAACATTAGAAGTAGGATTACATATCAAGTTTAAACGATTAATAAGATGTGAGAACCGCTTTTGCATTTGTGCAATGGTTTCGCCATGCTTCATGCGAAAGAGTTCGAATGCTTGATTAAGTGTGTTACTTAGGGCTTGTTTGACCTCATTAGTTTCCTCATGGGTAACTTGTAGAGAATTCCACATCGCCTTAGCAGTCGCACAATGAGAAACACGATAAAACTCATCGAAACTAAGCGCAGATATCAAGATTTTTTTCACTTTCCAATCGTATGACCACTTCTTATTATCTTCCTCATTCCATGGTGTAGATCCATTTTTAATGACCTCCCCAACAACTTTATCATAAGAGTTCACATGAATTTGCATACAAGCTTTCCAATAACCATAGTTTTCTCCCGTAAATATTGGAGCTCTTTTATAATCCCCTGTAGGTTCGTGAGCCATTTTCTAATAAGCGTTTCGAAGCACATAATCATTTGGGCTCTTGATGCCACTTGTTAGACGATGGTGACTTGTCTAGAGGGGAAGGTGAATAGACACCCAAGCCAAAATCACCAAATAAAATTTGAGTTTTAAATTTATTTGAAAAAGAATGTGCGCAGAAGGTTTTGGTATGGATCGATAAATGTCGTCTATACGAACCTAGTTATTGGAACTAGGATATGCAAAGCCAATTATGGAATAACAAACACAATGATTGAATTTAAACTTTAATCGAGTATCATGTTATTTCTCGTTTAAACTAATTGACCTAGTAATATTATTTCCAATGATAATGAGCAAAAATATTGAACTATAGAATTTATCAAACACTTGGTGTACGAACAAATTTTCAGAATTTCCTTTGTGTTGTTGTTGATATGAAAACCACTTATAATCAAAAGTGATTATAAGTTAATCAACAATCAAGTTAAAACAAAAAGATCACAGAAAAACTCTTACGAGTCGATCGATTGATCAATGCTATTTGACAAATTGCATAATGAATAATAAAGCAAGTAAAGAGATGATAGAGAGATCGACACGAGGATTTTTTTACGCAATTCCTCACTTTCGTCCTCGTGTGTGGGTACGTCTGCGCCTAATTTTCAATGTGGAATTAGGATACTTTCTTACTAGGCAAACGTTCTATGTATAAGAGAAGTGTTCAATAGGAACCATACAAACACCACTGGTTTTGATGTTGATTCAACCCCTTCTCTTCTTTTGATCTTGAAAAAGACCAAGATAACAATGGATGCCAATTGACTTGTCGATATTGCTACTCCTTTGCATTCTTTATCTCCAAGCTTTCAAGCACGATCAATTGCACCAATTGTTCCACAAGACTTCAATTCAATTTGTCGTTCTCCATTACTTCATTTGTGTTCTTTATCTCCAAAGAATCCTTTGTGTACTTTATATCCAAAGACTTTCACAACGTCGCAATCCTCTCTTAAACGTCTTGCATGAAAACCCCTAAATCTACACACGATCTTGGAGGACAAACCCGCGGTTTTTCTGGATGAAGACCCCTATAAATACCAACCTGATATTCTCGGCTACACAAGAACCTAATCGGACGTTATCAGGCCTTTGCCTAGCTGGCACCCCAACAAAAGATTATTACGTGTGATTTTTTAGTGTGTAGACATAGGATGGAGGTTGAAGATGATGAGCAATTACATGCTAATTTTATGGTATCACCAGTTTGGAATGAATTATGAATGATATATTTATAGTTCTGGAAGTTTGGTGGCAAGGAGGTAATTTTTTCGGAGTAAAAGAAATGAAAAAAATTGACCAACTTATACAGTATGTGTCGTCCTGAACGTTGGATGTGCCGGCACATACTATAAAAAATAACAGCATGTACCGATCTGAAAGGACCTATGTGCTGACCCAAATCAAACAGAGACTACAGCCTTATTTAGGACAGTAGATGTGCCAGCCTGAAACATGTATGTGCTGGCACATAATATTGAAACTTACAGTATGTGCCGACCGAGATAGCCATGTGTCGACCCAACCAAGTCAGACCATACAAGCTTTAATATTGAGTTACATGCGCTGACCTGAAATGTGTATGTGCCGACACATGTAGTGCATTTTTATGCAGAAATCTGTTTTTCATGTTTTTGGGCACGTTCAAGGTGGTTTTTGATGATTCCTAAGACCTTTAATGCAAGGGTGCCACACAAACTCAGAGATACCGTTTGACACACAGAAATACTAAGTTTTATTATAGTTTCTCCATCATGCAAAACATCTAACGGAGAAGTTGCACTCACAAAAGTACCATATACAAATTGTAAATATGAGATTTTCATCTCTGAGGTTATTGTTGGGGAGTTCGGAGGAGTCAAGAGCACCAATGTGACCAATGCTCTAGGACCACAAGAGAGGGAGATGTCACATCTCAACCCAAAACCTTAAGGTGCTAGGTAAATGGGTCATCTCTCTTATAAATCCAACATTCCACCCATTTAAAGGCAATGTGGGAGTTTAACCACTCACAATTACACCCAACATTCTCCCGTACAAGTGTGAGTCCTCCACATCCTATAATAAGATCCAACACTGGATCAAACTCCTGCTCCATCACAAAGCCAAACCATAGCTCTAACACCATCATTGGGAAGTTTGGGAGAGTCGGGAGCACCAATGATACCAATTCTTCAAGACCACAAGATAGGGAGACGCCACATCTCAATCCAAAACCTTAAGGTGTTAGGTAAATGGATCCTCTCTCTTATAAATTCAAGATTCCACCCATTCATAGACAATGTAGGACTTTAACCACTCACACTTGAACCCAACAATTGTAACATGAAATCCACTAAATTCACCACGAGCACGAGCTTTGCATATTATCCCATTTAAGTCACCCACTATAAGAGTTAAAAGAGAGTTCACATGGAGCCCTTTTATTTGGAAAGTGTATGATTAAACATCTAAAAATATTTTGTGAAAAAATATAGAAAAGAAAGTGGTTGATATTGCTAATATTCGAGTTATTAATGATATGTAAGAGAAGGTCAGAACTTGTGTGATGAGACATGGTGAAGCTACATAAGAGTTTCGTATAACAATAACATTTTAATAAGGGTCAACTCTTCGCTCTTATCTTTTTATTTTAGTTTTAGATGTACTTATGGAACATATCTAAGAGATATTATTTAAGATGCATGTCTTTTTACATGATATAATCTTACTAGAAAGTCTAGTAAAAATTAAATGAGGTTGAAGACTTCAAGACAAACTTTAAGCATATGACTTACTTCCTGCTGAATAGAAACAAGACATGTATATTATAGATGGGAAAGTTTAAGATGATATCATACTACAAGTTACAAGGTTTAAATATTTTGAGATTATAGTATAATATGACACATAAATTGAATGAGATGTAAACCTTGAGTATCAATTGGATAATTAAAATAGATGAGAGTTTCATGTATTTTATGTGATATGAAAGTACCATTTGATAATGAACGTCTCACGTTGTTGAAATGCTATGGACTATCGTGTCATGCATGGTGCAAATAATTCTTTAGATTTATTTTAGGATGCATGGGCGAATTCGTCTCTTGCCATGAGAATACAGACCAACACAAATTTCTGGATGTTGCAAGATTTCTGATTAAAATGAAGTATTATGCAAATCTCAATAAAGTTTTTAATGTTGAAATCAATGAAAACATATATAGAATCAAGTTAGTCGACGATTTCCATGGACCCAAACAAATGACAGTGTGTAATGAAAGATGGAAGAGTAGTGGGTCAGAGGCGGAGGGCCTAGAAGATTCAGACGGTGATGATGGAGTTTCAGAAACGTCTGTAGAGGAGGAAGAAGATGATTATGGGGACTTCAATTCTCGAGAAAATGTGGCAACTGGAGAATCGACAGAGCAGAAGGGTAGGTCTACATCACTGAACTGGGGATGTGGTTTGGATAAAGAGGTAGCTCTCTTTGATGTAAATGGCGTGTCTAGAAAAAAGGTGTATCTTAGAGGTAGTGATTAAGTTACAAGCAGTTGTAGGGTGGCTAGGTCATTAGTTGAATGTAATGGGACTGTGATGAGACCTGTATCAAACCGGAAGAGATCCTAATGATGTAGAAAATTCATTCTCAAATTACTATGGTGGATCCATTCTTTGCTATGAATCTACTAATGATGGTGATGTTAATCAAGGAAATTCTCGTATTAGGAAATCACTCGAGGATGTTCCAACAAAGGTGTGACATATGATTAAGGAGTTGGGAATTGAATGAGAAGAGGATGATGAAGTTTTTGAAGGTATCATCAGAAATTTGGAAGTCAGAGATAGCAAAAATTTTTATGGGAAGAGGAGGGAAGAGATTAGGGTTCCATGAATCTAATCTCCTTCAATGTGAGAGGGTGTGGCTCTTCAATTAAGAAGAGAAGGATTCGACAAATGTTATTGTAAGGGAAGCAGATTTGTGTTTCATCCAAGAATTGAAGCTTCAGACAGTTGGGGAAGAGGTGGTGAGGAGCATTTGGGGAAGTGATGATTTTGAGGGGTATGTTGTTTCTGCTATAGGTCAGTTTGAAGGCATCATCTTAATTTGGCGCAAGAACGCATTCAGTTCAAAGGTCAGTTTCAGAGGTAATGGTTACTTAGGGATCAATTGTTTATGGAAGGGAATTAATTGTTATTTTGTAAACGTATATTCATCATGTGTTCTTGTGGAAAAGAGAAAATTGTGGTTTGATTTGATTGAGGTTAAGACCAAGTTTCAAAAGAGGGAATGGCTAATTGAGGGCGATTAACACGGTTAAATCGGAGGAAGAAATGAAAGGGAAAGGAAAGGCTAATACTGTAGAGATGGAGGATTTTTCCATGTTTATTGATGTGTTAGAGCTATTTGATCTTCTGGTGGTAGGAAATAAATTTATGTGGATAAACTCCAATGGGATTTTTAAAAGCATATTTGATAGATTCCTTATATCAAAAGTGTTGATTAAGGAATGGTGTGTGATGGTGCATCATGTTGGCAAGCGTGATATCTCGGATCATAGATCGATTTGGTTGAGAGCTAGTAAGACCAACTGGGGGCCAAAACCGTTTAAGGTCTTTAGATGTTGGTTTGATCATTCTGGTTTTTTAGATTTTGTGAGCAACGTTTGGACTGATGTTGAGTTTATGGGTAGCAGCAGCCAGGTTCGAGTGAAGAAATTTAAGCTTTTTAGAGAGAGGTTGAGATGGTGGAACATCAATGTGTTTGGATGGGTGGATTTGAAAATAGAAGAAGAGGTGGATACATTGAACAGGATCAAAGATTATATGTCAGTCAGCAGAGGAGTTACGTTGGAGGATCAATTGTGTGCGAGAAGTAAGGCACAAAATCTGATTTGGAACAATCTCTTAAGGAAATTATGTTACAGTAGAAATCAAGGTTGAATTGGGTTATGAAGGGAGATATTCATTCTAAATATTTTCACTCCATTGAAATGTAGATCTAAAAATAATTTTATTTCGTATGTAAAAGTGGGAAATGGTAGAACAAAGGAAGTTTCCATGGTGAAGAATACAATTAAGCAATTTTTTGAGAATAGGTCTCAAAAGTTGGGAGGCGTGAGACCTTTGTTAGACATATTAGAGTTTCCCAAACTAACGGCTGTTGAAGTAGAAATGTTGGAAGAACCATTTTCATCTGAAGACATTCTTGAAGCCATCAATGGGTACGATGGGAATAAAATCCCTGACCTCGATGGGTTTAACTTTGAATTCATGAAGCGTTGTTGGGGTGCGGATGTGACTAGGTGCATTCAATATTTCTATAAGTACGCTATTCTCCCTAAAGCTCTGTTATCTTCATTCATTGCTTTGATTCCTAAGAACTTGAATCCCCAAGAGTTGGATGAATATTGCCCTATTAGTCTTGTAGGTTGCATTTATAAGGTAATTTTAAAGATTATGGCAACAAGGATAAGCAAGGTAATAGTTAGGTTGGTTTCTTTGTCCCAATCGGCGTTCATACTAGGTAGGCAGATCCTAGATGGAGTGTTGGTGGTGAACGAGCTTGATGACCAAACTATAAGGAAGAACAGAAGGTGCATTTTATTTAAAGTAGACTTCACATAAGCTTATGATTGTGTAGAGTGAGACTTCTTGGATAATGTTTTGAATGCGATGAATTTTGGAGTCAAATGGCGTCAGTGGATTAGAGGCGGGGTTTGTAGCAACTTTCTATCCGTTTTGGTGAATGGGAGCACTACTGAGGATTTTAAATGTTGGTCTTAGACAAGGAGATCCTTTGTCTCCCTCCTTGTTTGCTTTAGTGGCAAGGGGCCTTGCATTGTTGGTAAAAAGGGTTGTTAGTGTCGCTACTGCGAAAATCGGCGCCGGCTGAACAGAAGAGTCGCCACCGTGCGTTATTTATCCCACGGGAGGGAAAGGAAACGCTCAGAGTAAACCTCGCACAACACGGGAAAGGTATGGTCGTCGCAACCAAAACCTGGATTCGGGAGTCGGTTACGCAAGGGGAAGGTATTAGCACCCCTCACGTCCGTCGTACTCGACGAGATCCACGCTTGATTTCGGGTATGGATTGTTATTCTATCTAAACTAAAGGTCAGGGGTTAAAAGAAAAGAAAATGACTCGGCAAAGTATCGCACTTTATGCCTACGTATTCCCGTCTGGACCAAGAAATCAGAGTCAACGTAGTTCGCCTACCTACGGGAAAGGAGGGGAAGGTTGCTCGCTAGGATATCGCATCCTATGCCTACGTACTTTCATACAGCATGAAAGATCAAAGCAAACGTAGTTCGGGCCACGGAAGACACAGGTCTTGTCTTGATTGATTTTATTCCTTCTGAAAAAGATTTTTCTGATTAGCAGTCCAAGCGGACAAAAATGACGTTTTGATGAGTTCACATTCTTTTACGGAAGAAGTGTCTTTTATTGTGTTTGAAATTTTATTGTATTTTCTGTTGGTTTTGAGAAAGAAGAGACAGAACTCTAACCTACGGTTGCAAAGGGAATCAGACTAACCTAATGTTATCATGCATGGGTTAAGACCTAATGTCTATCATGCTCCTCTCTTGCGCAGAGAGAAACAGAGATCCTAAGGGAATAGACGGAAACATAAACAATAGCAGATATATACAGGAAAGCAATAAAATGCATGAATGCAGCAATACAAGCGAGGCAAGGGAGTCCCACTCAACCTCGAACCTAGAAAACAATAGGCAAAAGTGAACAGACTTCACTTTCAACCAGACAGGGTAAACAGCAAACAATACAGCCAGGAAAACCAATCAATACATCAGAGATGAATAACAACTAAAATAAACAGCCACAGCAGCTCTGCACCACATCAATCTTCAGGCCAACTACAAGCTTCTGGCAAGCCTCAGTCTCCATCTCCACAGCCTTCAGGCAAGGTCTTGATCATCAATCTTCCATCTGCAATGGCTTTTCTTCAGGTCTCAATCTCCAGGATGAACATCAATCAACCAAATGAAGTGAAGGAATGTTAGACAGTCAATTACCTACCAAGGGTGGTTCATCAACTGTTAACATTATATAGACAATTTTCCCTCAAAAGTTCTATCTTTCAAATACATTCACTGATCCTTCCAAAGGAAGGAGGTGGATATTTGAAAGAGACTTTGAATCATTGAGAAAGGATGGATGCAGACAAGGCATTCCATGTTTGAGAAACAAGCTTTCTAATCTAGAGCTCTGCCTAGCTCCTAAACCCTAGTCTCCTCACCAGCTGCTAGCAAGAATATCCTCTTCAACTCTGGAAGTTGGTCTTCAGTCTCTGGATCTCCAATGGCTTCATCATCACAAGTCTTCAGCTCTCCCAATCCCCAAGCAATCCCAATACCCACACAGACAAACAATAATCCCCAGAGAGGGCACACCACACCAGTTACACAAATACAGATAGTAATAATAGAAGTAGGGGAATCCTAATATTTTCTAAGGGATCTAATAACTACCCATAGTCCCTATAGTCCCATATCTAAAGTATTCAATCTCTAAGTCCTAAGGGAAATGAACTAATTCACCTAAGTCATCACTTAAACCCTAATTTTGTTCATGTTATTCACACCTAAACTAAACACCTAAAATTAAGTCCTAAAAATGTGAACTAAATTTTATATACAAGTTAACATCATCTACTAACCAACCTAAAAAGAATGGGTGAAAAATATTAAAGCATCTATTAGAACAAAAATTATCAAATTCATGTACTAAACAAAACATTATTTACACCTAATTAAAAGTAAAATATGCCAAAAATAAGAAAATGAAATGAATTATAAATTTTTTTTTGTATGAGAATTTTCTTGACCAAATTAAGAAAATAATGCAAAAAGAACCAATTGAAAATATGCATTTTATGATTTATTATGATTTTTTAAAGAATTAATATTTTTTGAAATAAAATGAAATGAATTAAGTGGAAAGGGGTGCAGAAAGTAGGAGAAATCAGTTAAAAGAATAAACTGGGCCCAGACTGGGGGGCGCGCATAGCAAGTGCGTCTGGGCCCAATGCAAGTCAGAAAACATAATAAAAATTAAAAACCAAAAACGGTGCAGATAGTAAGATTCTCAGTTGCAATCACGTTGGGCCTCACGTTGGGGGTACGAATAGCAAGCAATGTTTGAGCCCATCAGATAGAATAAGTGAAACGGGGCGTTTAGTCTTTTGAATCTCCCTCCGTTTTGGACTTTAAACCACAACCACACGATTGGTCTCAGAGTTAAGGTCAATTGCAGGATCCAACGGTTGTCCATCATCTTCAACCTCAAGAAACCCTAGATTTCAGAAATTCTTCCTCCATGCAAGCACCTTCCATCGTTCTGTTCTCTTTCAATTCTCCATGGATCCACACGATGTAAAAACAAAAAGTGATCTACTTCTTCCCCTCTACACAGCCATGCCAACCATTTCTCCTAAAACTCAACTAACAATCAAACCCGATAGGTGGAAGATGCTGACTCCACCATTATCACCTGTCATCAACCATCTCAATTCTCTCCAATCTTTACCCTAACCTACTCTACACCTTATGCTAATCAATCTGAGCTAAGGATCCAAGATTATCATGCATTATCCTACGAGTTACAAGCTCCAACAGTTTTGATGCACCATTAACAACCTTCATGGAACTTCTTCAAACTCACCAAAATCAATCATCTAACTATGCTTAACCATTCTAACCTAATAACTATCTATGATTCTAGCTAATTCAGCCAATTCGAAGAGAAACTAACCTGGTGCAAAATGGTGAAAACAACTATGGAACTCCTTGGATCTGATGCTTGTAATGATCTGAACTTGATCAGTGAGCTTGTTCTTGACTTCTGTACGCAATGAATTGGACTCAAACCTCTTGGATCTTGCAATTCCAAGTTTCTTGCTTCTTGGATGATGGAAGTGTGTGGCACGAGTTCTGCTCCAATCTACCAAAGGCTTGTGTGGATTGTGATCTATGGATGATATTGATGATGATCAAATCAAGAAAAATGGAAATTGATGAAAGTTTGATGAAGTTTGAGAGGTTTTGCAAAAATGGAAGAATTGTGTATAACTTGTGTTTTGATCACAATGATTCACCAACCATGGCATGGAGTTACTCATATCAATATATAGGTGAGGATGGAAACTCCTAGAACCTTGGAGAAACTTCCCTTGCACTTTTTCCTTTGGATTTGGCTTATGTATCTTTCATTACAAGTAACCATGAATAACTCCCAAAATGTGAACCAAGCTCAAAATTCTACTTTATCCAATGTTCTCAAAATGATCTTTCCATTCAAAATGACCTATAATTTTGCTTCATTTGGCCAAAATATGAAAAATCTCATTTTTTAAGTCATTTTTATTCATTAAATCCAACAATTTTGAAACCTTGTGCTATGAATCTTTCCAATCTCTCATGGTCACTTTTATAGACTCAAAATGTCATTTGGAACAAGTTTGATGTTGTAAAGTTTTCCATTTGAAGCTTCCTTGTATGAGTTTTGGGCATAGGCTTGAAATGACCTGTAATTCTCAAATGACCAAAATACCCTTTGCTTGCCAAGACCATAAGTAGAGTTCCACAAATCATATGAAGGAATACCATACCATTATAGAAAGCTAAGACAATGAGGAACAACTCTTATGTTTACCAGAAATTCATTTGAAATCTCCTTGAGGGGTAAAAATAGCTTGGAAGTCAAGTCACTTTCACAGACAAAATTTCAGATACCTCAGATGACCTGTAACTTGCAAGGACCATAACTTGAGTTCTATAAATCTCCTTGATGTCTTCCACCACTCAAATTAAAGGTATTGAGATCCTCTACAAGTTTCATGTTGGACAAGGATCCATTTGAAGCTTGCATTTTGACTTATCTTGCTTGGAAATTTGCCCTAAATTAGGGGATTTTACACAGA